TCTGCGCAGCGCCCACCCACGCGCACCTGTGCCAGCCCCGGCGCCAGGCACCCGACGGTAGGGACCTGCACGGGGGGCACCCAAAACGCCCTTCGGGTCACCGCGGCTCGGGGCTAAGGTGCCACGAACGAGAGGCTGCAAAGGTCATTCCTCCCAAAGCCAAGGGGCTGCAGCACGCAGCAACTAACCCTAATTAACTGCTCATTTCCCTGTTGCAGGATGAATGCCGGCAGCTGTAGCATCCTTAGCGGCGCAAAGCTGGTTGGAGAGAAGGGAGAGTTGCTACGCTAACTCCTGACATTGTCAGGGATGGAGTTCTAAGTGCAATAAGGCAGCCTGAAGTCAAGCGTCTGACTTTACAATCAAGAATTTCTTTGTAAAGAAGCAGGAAAATCAAACATACTTCAAATTCAGCTCCTTATGGGTTCAATGCCTACTTTTTTGTTTGTTTTAGTATGAAAAAACTACTTTTGCAGCTCTTAAAGTAAGGCTTTAAAAATTCATTAGTTTCTTTCCAGTAGGAAAATAATTTCATAGTAAACACCCTCTTTGCACAATCTTGCAAGATTTACTTGTATTTTTTAAACTACTTTTTTACTGAGGTTCCTTTACTAGCGTGCAGATACGAGTGTGAAAATTGCAGTATTTATAGTAAAACTGTTTTGTAAATAAAAGGAATGTAAAATAAGCAACACTAGTATCCTGGCTTGGTTTTTCTTTATGATTTGCTAATCAAACCTCCTCATAGAGCACTTTAAATGGTTTTGCAGTGTCATTGTTTGCCGGATGTACTCAGCTGCTCAGATAATTGCTGCTCAGATAATTGCTGCTGTCCTGTTGCACTGCTGTTTGTAGCAGCGCGCCTGGCCTTTCCTGGGAACCACAATGACGGAGGCGAGGTGCCACTGCTCGAGCGGAGCCCATTTCCACCCCGGGCAGCACCAGGGCGGTATCGGGGAAGGTGTGCGCTCCTCTCCAGGTATAACCTTCCCTCGGCCGACCACGAGTATTCCTGCACCGGTCGTATTCTCTACGCAAAAAAACAGGCTGCAGCTCCAGCAAGGAGTTCAGAGGATTAAATTAGCTGCTCCCCCTTGGTGTTCGCTGGCTTGTACTCCTTGTTTTGACGTGGGAACAAACTTAATAGCGGTAATATGGAAGCTGTAAAAATTGCCTTTCTGCTTTATTGGTGTTTGCAAAGAGATTGAATTTATTGGTGTTCTGGCAAAAGACAGGCAGTGCTACGGGTAGGACAGAAAGGTGCTGTGCAGTTATCTGATTCTGCTATCGTATTTGTTATCGAACTGGGACACACCACATTTCCGTCAGCTTCTGCTGACGAACGCAATCCTGATATTGCATTGAGGAGAGGGAGAGGCAACGGCCATCTGAGCGCCTGAGCTGCCCCATGCCCTGGCTGCCGTCCCTCACCGTCCCCGTCTGATCATCCCTTTGAACAGGGGGCTGGAGTCAGCAGGGGCTGTTCCAGGGGTGCTAAGTGGTACCCCCAGCATGCCCTAAACCTCTCCTAGCTGACGCAGAGGGAGAGGTGCAATGGAGAGAAGACGTAGGCACGGTGCAACACGGCGTGGCCGCAGGACAAGCGCTCTCCGGGCAGCCTTAGGCTGTCCTTGGGTTGAGGACCAAGGGTAGGGCGACGGGGCGGACCGACTGAAAACAAGCATCCCTCGCAAGGCAGACGCTCTCCCGCGTTCACAGCGTTGCTCAGGATAAGTCAGTAAGATTGCGTGCTGGCTGACTCACCGCTAAGGTGACGCTAAACCCTTTCCGCGTCACCGGACGGGGCAGGAGAGGCCGTTGGGGAAACACGGCAAAGAGGCCCGACCCCAGCGCCAGCCGCCCGCCTTTTGCTGTTCCTCGGTCGTTAAGCGGCATCATTTCGGACCCGATAAAGGAGAAA